AGGTATCCCATAAGTGTGAGAATTTATTAGAATAATTATTTATGGGCATGCCATCTCATTTGATAGTACTTTTTGAGACAGGGGACTTTGCTTTCTTATTTTTTTGGTGGGAGTAAAATTTACATACATTGAAATGTACAAGTCTTAAAAGTATCATTCAATGAGTTTTCATAAATGCATACTCCTGTGTAACCCACAACCCTATGTAAAACATGATCATTACCATTACCCTAGAAAGTTCTTATAGTCCCTTCCCAATCTGTTCTCACTTCCCTAGATGCAACCACTGTTCTGATTTTTTCACCATAGATTATTTTGCATTTTCTAGAATTGTATATGAATGGATTTGTACAGTATATATTCTTTTGTGTCTGGCTTCTTTCATCAAGTATAGTGTTTTTGATATTCACACGTTGTTGCCCCTATTAGCAGCGCCTTTCTTTTTATTGCTTTTTATTTTTATCACATTGTGTAAATATGCCACGGATTGTTCATCCATTCTCCTCTTGATAGACACCTGGGATCTTTCCATTCTTTTTGGCTATTACGCATAAAGTTGCTATAACCATTCTCGTAAGAGTCTCTGTGAACTTTCACTTCTCTTGGGTGAATACATAGGAGTAGAATTGCTGGGACATAGAGGTGAATGCTTAGTTTTACAAGAAACTGGCAGATGTTTTCTGCAAAAGGTTGTACTATTTTACATTTCCATAAGCAATGTGTGAGAATTCTGGTTGTACTACATCTTTGTCAACATTTGGTGTTGTCAGTCTTTAATTTTAGCTACTTTAGTGAGTGTATTGTGTATCTTTTTTTTTTAAAAGATGACCGGTAAGGGGATCTTAACCCTTGACTTGGTGTTGTCAGCACCACGCTCAGCCAGTGAGCGAACCGGCCATCCCTATGTGGGATCCGAACCCGGGGCCTTGGTGCTATCAGCACTGCACTCTCCCGAGTGAGCCACTGGCCGGCCCCCTGTATTGTGTATCTTATTGTGATGTTAACTTGCACTTCCCTGATGACTAATGATGTTGAGTACGTTTTCATGTGCTTATTAGCTATTCATTTCTCTTCCTTTGTGAAAATGGTCAAATCTTTTGCTCATTTTTAACTGGCTTGTTTGTCTTTTTATTGTTGAGCTGTAGGAGTTCGTTATATATTCTAGTTACCAGTTCTTTGACATATATATGTTTTGTAAATATTTTCTCTCAGTCTGTGGGTTGCCTGTTCATTTTATTAACCATATGTTCTCGTGAGTTGGTTCATCTTTGTACCCCCTGCTATCCCTATGTATGGTTGCAGCTTGATAATACTTAATGGATGAGCTAAAAGTTGTTCCTCCCTCCTTCCTTCCCTTCCTTCCTTTATTCAAGAACACTTACTGATTATCTATATGTGGCAGGCACTCTTCTGTGCCTTGGGGGATACAGAAGAAAACAAAACAGGCATATTTTCTAATTTCATGACACTTACATTTTAGTCTATATGTACGTGGGGATAGGGTGGGAAACAGAAAAACATAGAAACAAACAAGGAAATATGAACTAGTTATAGGTGCCATAATGTAAAAATGCACTGTATGCTTAATGGGAAAGGGATGATTAGGGGCTTTATTCAGGTTGGGGGGTAAGAAATTTGAGGAGGTGATATTTAACCTGAGACCAGTATGACAAGAAATTATTTTTTTCTATAGGGGAAAGGGATCCCAAGCAGAGGGAAAAGCTAATAAAAAGCTCCTTAAAGTGAGTTGGGGTTAGGCACCAACTACCCAAAATATCCCGTTAGGCAAACTAAGGTATCTGGGGTTGGTTGCTTTGGAAGTTACCATAACTGGAATAAGCTGATGCTATATTCTTACTATTTCTTAGTATTACAGTACTTAGCAGTTTCTCAACACCCTCCTTACCCTCCTTGCCCTCCCCTTCCCCGCAAGCTCCTAGGTTCCAAGATGCTTTGAAAATAAAAATTATGGATTAGCTACCAAAAGGGTCAACAGAGTTTAGGCTAGGTCAGAAAATTTTTCTGCCATCAAAGTAGCCAAGCCATAGAAATAATAAATCAAGGGCCACATAAAGTAATAAGTAACTACATTTGATTTATAAGAGCAAAATATGAAATGTTCTCCCTCTCTGCATTTTACGTTTAGATTGTATAATGTCCAACTCAATAAATGCGATGTCAATTTGATGAATAGAATATAATTTATTTCTAAATTTTTCTCATTTTAGGAAGAAAGATAAAAGAAAAGATGATGAGAAAGGATAGCAGAAGATGGAGAGAGTGAAATGGAATGAAACACATAAGTGAATAAATGAAGGCAAAAGGAGAAATAAGATTCCTAGAGGGAAATAGAGAAGCTGAGGAAAAAACTGTGAAAGGGAAGCCAGAAGTTAAATAGGTTTTGTGTGAAAAAGTTCCTGTCACCTTCTTGTGCCTTTGGGCTATGGACACCATAGTTGGTTATTGGTTCCTTTGAAAAACATGATGGTACTCTCTAACAATATTTAACATGCATGAATGTCTTTCCATTCTACTGAGCTGATGCATGCTCTACATTTATGCCAAATTCCTTTCATTGATTTATTTCCGTATTTCTTTCCACCAGACTGCTTTTTCTCCAATCAAAAAACAGAGACTCTTTGATTTAATAAAACAAACTGCTATGACTCTAGTACCCATTCTCCCATATTTCAGATGGAAAGTTGCCTTCAACCAAAATCATGCTTTCTGGTTATCATTGTCAAGGCAAATCCCACGTATATTGGCAGGATTTTGTACAAGACAAATTGCAGTGGTATGACAGGCCTTATGCTAAGTAGAGACAGTATATAACCGAGTGGTTCAAACTAGGCCCTGTGGAGACCAGCAAGCTCCATGTACAAATCACAGACCATCTAGCTCATGATTTGCTGTACTCCAGTAAACATCCAAGGAGTACAGTCAGCTGGAGGTGAAGCCTGGGGCTTGCTGGGCTCCACTCTGGTCAGAACTGCTAGAAATTGGGCAATAATGGACTTGGCAATATCCTAAAGGAGTGAAATAGATGGCTGCTTTCTAAGACTCTCCACTGGGGTAGGGGTGGGGGGAAGACTGAGGCTGGAGAAAGAAAATCAGCCCAGTTTACAGGATTAGTAGCCAGAAATTTAATGTGTCCAAGAAAACAATTGGCCAAAGGTATTTAGCTACTCTGATCAACTACAAACTGGAGATGTATGCTCTAATAAGTGGAAAGTTACAGACTGGACCATTGCAGGAAAAATGGTCTGGTGAAGCGAGATATGAAAAGAAATAAATGAAAAGAATTTAGCAATTCATATAGGACATGTATCAGCTCATTGGAATGGAAAGACAGAATAATCTACTTGGAATGAGACAAGAGACAACCTGGCCCCCTAAAACTAATGTGGACCCTGCAGCCTTGGGGACGCTAAGTTCCAACTCAGCTCTCCTGTCAGTTTGACTTAAGATTGTAGAATGGGCATGTAAAGCCTCAGGGCATATGGACGTGACCGTACTAGGTAAGCAGAGGAGAAAGAGTGAAAAAAACTATGAATCCAGTATGACAAGAAATTATTTTTTTCA